TCGGAAGACAGGGAAGCTATGTCTCCCACCAGCCGAGCTGCCCAGCTCCTAGCCACTGAGTGACCGCAGCTAACGACACACGCCCAGCGCTGAGCCTGCTGCCAGCTGCCCGCATTTAGATATGTTTTTGAAAATGTTTTATGACGTTTATAAAACGTAATTGTTCACCTGGCACCCATACCTGGGTTTCTAATAGCATTCTCCAGTAAAAGGAGCCTAGGCTTCTTGGAGAAATGACTGAGTGTAGGGCTGGGAGTATCTTGTATTGCCAGAAAGTAGGGAAGTGTATAAATATGTATGTACACACACACACACACACACACACACACACACAGCCCTTGCTGGGGGTACATCAAAGGGTCAGGGTAGCCACCCGAAGGAGCTAGGACAACCTGAGTGACAAAATAAAGAAACATTGGATCATAGCCCAAAGTGTATAATAATATCCACGGGTCCAAACAGACACAAATAATCAAATAAGTAAGTGAACAGAGGAAACAGACAACTCTCCTGAGTGGAATTCCAAGTAAGTGTCCTCAAGAATGAAGCCTTCACTCCTCAAATGTGAGCGATTCGTGACTCCCTTTCAAAGAATCCAGTGTGGACAGGGGTGGGGAGCCTCAGAGCGAGTTCACAGTGGAGAAGCCTGACAGACAGACCCCGGCCAGCTGACGACGGTCAACATCAGCCCGTTGGTAGCCCGTGATACAATGTGATGGAAACAGCACCGCCCCTCTGCCGTCCTCCTCCCCAAGCTCGTAACCTCAGTCCCAGCTGAGAAAAACACATGGCAAATCCCAACAGAGGGACATCCTAGAAACTGCCCGGCCAGTCCTCCTCAAAACTGTCAAGGCCATCAAAAATAAGCAAAGTCTGAGAAACTGTCACAGCCCAGAGGGGCCCAAGGCACCATGAGGACTGGATGTAAGGTGGGGTCCCAGGTGGGATCCTGGAACAGGAAGAAAGGATCTCAGATAAAAACTACAGAAGTCTAAATCAAGTATGGACTTTAGTTAATAATATTGCATCAATATCGGCTCACTAACCCTGGCGGATGCATTATACTAATACAAGATGTTACTTTGTACTATCTTTGCAATTTTTCTGTAAATCTAAAAATACTCAGAACAAGAAGTTCACCTTTAGAAACTTAACTACGGAACTTCAGCCTAAAGCAATCGATGCTCCGTGATGATTCACAAGTTTAGTTAGTAATAGAGAAAGGGGTAAGTTGACCACTTATTACTTACCTGAAACCACCTGCGCAGGTATTAGAAATACAGAGCCCACACCTGCCTACATCCCCTAAACAAACCATGGGGCTCCGTCCTACACACTCCACTCAGGACCATTTCCTCTGCAAGACTGCCTTTGCTGCCCGGTTTGGCTCAGTGCTAGGACAGGCGGAGCCCCAGGGAGCCCTTGCAGGACCCTGCTTCCTTCCAGACAGACCTGGAAACAGATCTGGAAACAGACCTGGAAACAGACCTGGAAAACGGAGCGTTTTCCAGATCGGCCCAACCCCACTCGCCGTTGGGTGGACGGACGGAGGAAGACCAGAGCCAAGCTGTCTGCCCCCCATGGTTCAGCTGATGGAAAGGCACAAGAAAGAGTTTTAGGAGGACAGACATTCAACTGTGTCAGAGAAGTAGTCCCTTCAGAAATCCTGCCATCTGCAGCAACGTGGATGGAACCGGAGGGGACTATGCTGAGTGAAGTAAGTCAGTCAGAGGACAGATATCGTATGTTCTCACTCATACATGGGTCTTGAGAAACTTAACGGAAGACCATGGGGGAGGGGAAGGGGACAAACAGTTTCAAACAGAGAGGGAGGGAGGCAAACCATCAGAGACTCTTAAAGACAGAGAACAAGCTGAGGGTGGATGGGGGGTGGGGAGGGGAAAGGGGTGATGGGCACTGAGGAGGGCACCTGTTGGGATGAGCGCTGGGTGCCGCATGGGAGCGATGAACCACGGAATCTACCCCCGAAACCAAGAGCACACTTTACACACTGTATGTTAGCCAATTTGACCATAAATTATATTTACCAAAAAAAAAGGAAAGGAACACCGCACGGGCTCTCCAAAGTGCCAAGTGCTAGCCGGTGGCCCGACCGGCCCTCTGACGCTAGCTCGGATGTGTGCGTGGGGTGCAGCTCACAACGCAGGACGGGCGTCAGCGTCTGCGGCCGTGCGTCCCGTCTGTCCAGTTGTTCTGGGTGAATAAGGCTGAGGCCTGTGACGTCATTACCAACGCTTTTGAAATGTAGAGACTTACAGTTCAAAGGAAAGTTCTAAGAAGATTGAGAAGAAAACGGCCAAGCTGATCTTCACACAAGACCATCACCTGAGAGGTGAAAACACCAGGAAAACGTCCAAGTTGATCACTGTTTCTTTCTGATTTTTTTTTTAAATAACAGTCTCTGACTCATCTTCCTCCCTCTGTGAATGGATGGACCGTTTCCGGGTGTGGAACGTAGATGGGACTGACATGTTGCCCGCCTCTCTCTTGTTCTGAGCTACCCTACACGCCCCATCCGGCGACGGTCCAGCTACCCGAGGACACGGTGAGTGAATTATTCATCAACGCAGAACTGGCGAAACGTGGAGCTCAGGTGGACTCCACTAAACCCGAGAGGCTTCGTCTGGCATAGGTTTTCAGCCGAGTTCCTGGCTCCCACAGTTGTGATCCGTTCAACAGACATCGAGCCGTTGGCCCACCCTGGAATCAGATGTCGTTACTGTGCCTGGCGTGAGCTCTAATCCTTACCATTAAATAAGATAAACTTACTCTTCCCGAACATTAGCCGCAGCACGTCCCCTTAAATAAGAACAGACTGAAGATCCCAAAATGCCCCAAAGTTATTCTCCAAAGACAATGCTGCCGATGACTTCTCCTAGATCAATCACCATTGAAGGTCGCCTGTCCTATTTGGCAATATTTGCTCAGTAACTAATAAAGATCAGCCTGTAGTTATTTATATTAGGTTATCATCTCTCCAGGGTGAAGCTTAATCCATTTTGCAATGTTTTTCCCAACAAGACAACATGAGTTTCTCCGCCTGAAAATGAATTAAGTGCACGGTTTCTAAATATGGGATCTGACATTGTTCTTGTTACAAAAAGCAATTTATTCCCCAAAAGGCTTACACTTCAAAGGTTATATAAAAAGGTTCAAATATCAATGCTATCCATTTTTCAATTACTGGGCTTCCTAACACCACTGGCTTTTGGACAGATAAGCAGTGGTATCAGTTTTCTTATTCAACATCTTATAGGTTTCCAATTCCACAGCACAGAGAAAGCAAATTTATTGTAATACATTTAGCTGCTTTGGAAACAGGAGAATCCAGTCTGTTTCCTCCAAGACTATAGAAGGTATCAAATAGCATCTTAAAGGGATATTTATGAAGTGCCCGATAGTAACGATTGCAATTGTAGATACAGCTTCAAGTGTCTACCTATAAACAGTCTCATATGTATATATATATATATATATATATATATATATATATATACACACACACACAAAGGTGAGGGGCTGGGGAAAACGATTTTCAACGTATGAAAATGAAGGAGCCATGAAAACAATCCGAACATCTCCTAAAAGACAATCTACAGACACTTGTGTGTTCCTAGGAGGGAAGGAAAGAATCCTTTTGTCTTTGGTTGTGCCAGCAGATAAAAAGAAATGGCGTCATTCATATTTCCCTTCTGACAACTAAAAAGGATGCTTGGGATTATGCCTGAAGGATCATGTGGCAGAAAGAAAGAACGTCCTGATACTCAGGGGGAGATTTTTTTTCTTGGCGTCAAACCAGGCATGTCACATGAGACTTTTCATAATTGGGTAATAAGGACGGGGCGGTCTGATGTACACAGGTCTGGAGGTCCTTCTCAGGAAGAAAACAAAACTTACGAGGAAAGGGAGCTGACACTGGTCACACGGAGTCACGGAGGCCGGGGTGCAGTGGCGGGGTACAGGCGTTCACTGCAGAGTCCCGCCCTGTACGGTGGCCTGTCTCCCCGGGGGTGGGACCGTGGCCATGGCGAGTGCCAGCTCTCCGCTCACGGGAGGGACGCTGCCTGCTTCCAGCCCCGCGGGGTGACCTGCGCACCCGCCCCGCCGCCGTGGACCCAAACACAGACAGTTACGCCCACCGACAGCCCACGGGCACAGGACCCACCTGCAGGAAGTTCCCAGGTTAGACCCTAGAGACACGAGATTAGCAGCAGCCCCAGCAAGGGAAGAAGCACAGAGAGGGGACGAGGAGAGAAAGCAAGGCGTGAGAGGGCAGGAGCGGCGGGAGCACCAGAGCAGAGGCGGAGGGGACCGGCCGCGGGCTTCACAAGCACCCCCAGGTCTGGATACAGAAGGGAACGGGACCCCCTGTTCACAACAGCTAACACTGTGACAACGGCCACGCACAGCACCGACCAGGTGCACCTGTACTTGACCGTCCCGCATGGCCCATCCTTTCAAGGGCCCGCACTCCGCTGTCACCCCTCTTCCCCTCGCTCCCCAGATATTCTCGTCCTAAAGGGAGCACCTTTACATCTTCCAAAATAACCCTCGTAGGTCATCCTGCTTTTCAAACACATGCCCGCCCAGCTTACTCTTTTTCCCCTGTTCTTTCCCTGGAAAAGGGAGAATTCCTCTTCTGGAATTTCATTCGCTAATCCAAGCATGTCCTGTCCAGACACTCACTCAGCTACGGCCTTGCAGGAAAAATATTTGGGGGAAGGGGCGAGGGGAGGGTGGACTCTCACTTAGCCGAATGTTTTGGCCATTTTTAGAGTTGATTTCCCTACTTGTAATGGGTTAATTTGCCTCCCCCCCCCCCCCCCCCCCCCCGCCAAGAAAGAAACGTTCAAGTCCTAACACCCAGGGCCTCAGAATGTGACCTTGTTTGGAAATAGGGCCACTGCAGATGCAACTAGTTAAGATGAGGTCATAATGGGGAGGGCGGGCCCCGATCCAATAGGATTCGTGTCCTTTTGAGAAGACAGAGACACCAAACGGAGACCAACTGAGACCAGAGGCAGAGACCGGAGTGAGGAGACTGCACGCCAGGGAATGAACGCCAAGGATCACCAGCAGCCACCGGAAGCTGGAAGGCACAGAGAGGGACTCCCCTACCTGTTTCAGAGGGAACACGGCCCTGCTCACACCCGTTGTAGACCTCTGGCCTCCGGAACTGGGGGAGGAGACATCGTTTGAAGCCTCCTGGTTTGTGCGCTTTGTCGCGGCAGCTCTGGAAACTGACACACACCCACGGCCACAGCAAAGGCCCTTCACCCACTGAGCTTGTGTCCAGCACCTTTCATGTTCCACTTTGAAACAGCACCTGAGCAGGACGAACGCTGTAGGTGCGGGTGAGCCAGGACCCTCAGGAAGCAGCTGTCCACAGAGGAGACACCTACAAACAAGAGAGCACAGACTTACACGGATGCCCGTGTCGAACTGATTCCGCGAGGTGAAGTGTTCGTGGAGTGTGGACTGGACACGGTTGGGGGGGGGTGAGTGGTCAGCTGGGAACACCGTGGATGGTCTACATCATCTGCTGCCCGTTAAACTGCCAAAGTTTATTGACCACACCTCTTACCAGACAGCTTCTCTGCTATTGGCTTGAACGAATCAGGAAAGGAAAATTTATAAACCAAGTAAGGACATACTATGAATCTGCTCCTTTCAAGCACACAACACATTTATCAGTTTCTATGTGCCATCGGATTGGAGGCATCACGAAACAAGATTCACACGAATCCTGAAGGACACCTAAGGCTTTGATCTGAAAGTCTAGAAAAGTCTGGAGTGACGCTCCTGGTTACGTCCTGGTTCCACCTGCACTGAGAGCTCTCTCCGGCTCCTGGAACTCCTTGTGGCATTCGTCTCTGCCCATAAGTCTTCTACAAGGAAGCGAGCTCGTCAGCTCAAAATTTGACCTTCGATTTCACGTATTTTGTTCAGGAAAGCACGTTACCCGGCACCCAGAGCAGCACAACAGAAAACCCCCTGAGGCCGTGCTTCCCTTCCTGACTATCAGCTCGGAGAACCTCCCAGTCTTGATGGAAATTTCCATTCATGGGCATTTTTCTCACATGCTTCATTGAGTCTTGAAAACAACTGGATTTCTATTGGGTATGTGTTAGGAACGCCAAAGAAATTAATGATGAACCATGCAATGAACCTCAGTTATTCTGATGGGGGAAAAGACAAGCTTCTAAGGCTGGCGGCACTTGTGAGACAACAGTGCCCATTTTCTGGGCTATCCTCCATCCAGATGATGGTCCTCTGGTGATGCAGGTGACCAGCGTCCGGGTGACGCGGCAGTCCTGCGTTGTGTTTTCGTGTACCGATTCATACGATCCCACCAGCCTCCTCCAGAGCCTATGGGACAGGAACCCTTATTTTTCTCATATTATCCATGAGGAAACTAAAGCAATGGGAAGGCTGGCTTCTAATACCTAAGTAGTTGATGTACCAGCAGGATTCTGCATCCTGGGTGCTATCTGGAGATCTCTTGGGGACACGTGATACGTGGATCGCCTGGGACCCGTGTGACCGTGGGCAGTGCACCCTCAGGAAGGGTCCTGGGGAAGTGGCCTTCTTGAAGTCAGTAGCTCAGCCATGTCACAATGATGCGCCTTGTCTCACCCCAAGCCCTGAAGTTCAAGTACAGATCTCACGTTCCCCTCCATTTCAGTCATTAGCAACAAGCGGATGTAAACGTAGGCACCAGGCATACCTGTGCTGGGGAGCCACAGGTTAATCATTAGGGGCCATTGGCTCCTTGTGCAGACTGACCTCAAGGGACAAGGAGGAGGGGTTTCCACGATGGCTGTCGTGTGGCCTTTTCCACGCACCACATCCTCGAGCCCACCAGGAGGTTTTGTGAACTACCTCATCAATGCAATAAAAACAACAATACAAATGGCCCTGTGATGGAATATGTTCTTTATTTAAAAGCCAAAGGGTAAGAAATGGTTTTTGTGGGTCAGCAAGTTTTGCTAAATCTGATAAGTGCCTGGATGGGTTTTTAAATGCACGTTTGTATGTCTTCCGGCCACGTAAGCAAGCTGCCTTCGGTGGCTATTTCCTGGCCGAGAGTGAGTGACTGGGATAGACCTCACCCAGGAAGTCATCAGACCCAACCTTCTGAGCTTGGGTGGTGCTCACACGGAAACCTCGGATCTCAACGGGTGCTTGTGGCCTTATCTTAATTAATATCTTCTCTCTCTGTCTCTCTATGAAAAAAATCACAGTGTAACTGGTGTGGTTTTTAAAACAGAATAGTACTTAATTGCCATTCTAGCTCTACCATAAAATTATATCTACAATCATTATAATTTTGAATGTTTTTTGAAAGTACCTGTGTTTTGTTCTCTCTCTCAGCGAGCAAACAGAGCCAGGAGGAGCAGTCGACATTTCATAGGATGTTTGCCGTAGACGCCTTTCTCCTACTGATGTATTCCAGAAGACGAATGTACTAGTCTAAATTAGTTTTTTTTTTTTTCCTTCTTTCCCTGCTGGTAATTAGCACTAGAGGGGATGGGTCTGAGTTAACTATTAATAGTTTAGAAGTAAACCTGAATTTTAGCAACAACACATTACCAGACAGTAAAAACCTGATTCTTCTGCTTCTGTTAAGAGCTTATCAATGAATGGGAGCTTCCAACTGTGTCTGACTATCGAACAATCATGTTCCCAGCTGATGTTCGCTTATGCTGCACACTGCTGTATACCTGCACTGTTGTCTAACAGTGTTAATCTCTCCTAGCTGTGAGGGGTGCACAGAGAGCTGCCACAACGTCCCCGAGCCATCGGGCGACGCCTCCGCTCACACACCAGCCTTCGGGACTCCCCACGTCTCGCTGGAGCACCTCTGCCTGGACGTGGGGACCTAACCCAAAGCAAGGGCAGATTACGCAGCACGGAGAACCCCTGCCTCCGGCTACGTTAACCAAGTCGACCAGGACGTCTGTTACTCTCCTGCGTGTGCTTGGAGGTAAACAAGAAACAGAGTGAGGGCAGGTGGGCACGTCCGGCACCTACACGGGGCCGGGCACGCGGGGGCTCATAGCAGCCCTCCTCCCTCTTCTCCAAGCGTTTACATCTAACTATATTTAACCCTCACCAAAATACGATGTGGCAGTAACGGACCCACCTCCCAGATGCGAAACTTAAGCTCAGAGAGGTTGGGGACTTCGTAAGGTCACATGACCGGTAACCGGCAGACTCAGGCGTCTGTCCAGGCGGATGGGCCCAAAGGTCGGCCGTTTTGTCACTGGACCACGTGCCGCGCGCGATGGCCGTCCTCTGCCCTGTGCCCTTTGTCTTCCTCCTCCCGGTTAATCCTCCTTAGAAGAACACAGAAATATGTAAACTCGAGGAACAGGAAATAAAATTTCGAGCTTAGTGACGGCAAGCTGGAATGTGCAGAGAGCCCGTGGCCGGGACGGGAAACGTCGGTAGATGTGCCGCAGCATTCATCCAGAGCGTCCTTCCCCACGGGAGACGACAACGTGAGCCATCCCACCCGGCACCTCCACCCACCCGTGCCCTGCTCTCTCTCCCAGCCGCTGCCCTGCGCCCGATCCTGCCGCTTATCACCAAATACCCAGTGTTGTATCTCACCAGTAAAACGGAGCAAAAAGTACTTGCCCGGAAATCCTAGGAGGGTCGTTTGAAGAGCGAGCGACAAGAGCTGTGGAAGAGAAGACGAACACGCAAGCCGAGTGTGGCATCGCTGCTGTCCTGCTCGAGTCCGACTGCTCATCTGGCACCTGCAGGTGCACAGGGCGGGGCCCCCAGGCTGCCCGACGGCAGGAGCCAGCCGGCTACCGCGGACACCTCGGCCCTCAGGTAGCCGCAGACCAAAGCCCACACGGGACACTGAATTTTTAGTTAAATCGAGCCTTCCTCCGAATTAAATACCCTCCCAAGATATGACAGTATCCTTTCATCAACATAATTTATTACAATCATTTTACTAGTTAGGACATTAAAAAGTGGCCCTCTGACCTTAAGCACCCTCTCTGTCCCATAAAAATCCCTCCGGCCACAAGGCTGCCTCGCAGCCCCCAAACCCTGCAGCCGGAGCGGGCATTACCTGCCCTGAGACAGAGAGTGTGGCGCTGGCCAGGACGCCTGCCTTCCGTGAGCTCTTCAAGGCGCGTGCCTCTAATTAGGCCACGTGCCCTTCAGAGATGTGACTCCTGTTAGACCCAGGGTTGCAGCCACGTCAAAGGCAGCATCTGTCCACACCAGCCCCACAGCAGCTGGCTCACCCCAGTCCAGTGCTTGACGTGGCTCCTGCCCAACCTCTAAGCTGCGTTTGGGTGAAACGACGAGGCTATATTGTGGCAAATAACTAACCTTCTCTTTTCTTAATTTTCTTTAATGTTTATTTATTTTTGACAGATACAGAGAGAGAGAGAAAGACAGAGACAGAGAGACAGAGCGTGAGCAGGGGAGGGGCAGAGACAGAGGGAGACACAGGATCCAGCAGGGCTGCGAGCTGTCGGCACAGAGCCCGACGCAGGTCTGGAACTCACGAACGGTGAGATCGCGACCTGAGCCGAAGTCGGGCGCCCAACCGACCGAGCCACCCGGGCGCCCACTAACCTTTACCTGCGTACACGCACTGTATGGACAAAAGGCGTCTTACAGAAAGATACGCGAACAAGGCTGGGGTAAAATCGCGTGGCCCTTCCAGCTGCAGCCAGTTCCCACCGGCACGGCTGCTGGGCCTAGAGCCCCCGAGCCCGACGCCCTTCACTGTCCTGTGTGTGAGGCAGCCCCTCCCGTCCGGCCTGGAGGGCTGTGGGGACCAGAGGACCGCCTGCTGGAGGGCCGAGGCTTCTCCACCCGCTTCTCCTCGACACTCCTGTACCAACAGGCAAGCCACACGCCATCAGGCGCGGTCATTTTAAGTGCACGATTCGATGATTTTTAGTACATGTACAGCCGTGCACAACCGCTGTCACCTCCCCCGCCCGAAAGAGACCCAGGGCCCGCTCGCGGCCAAGCCGCAGCCACGGTACTCGGCCACTTTGAAAACGACAGTTGTCCAGACCCCACTGCCGAGCCCTCGGGGGTGGGGGTGGGGGTGGGGGCGGATCCCCACCCAGTGTGTCCTAACACCTCTTCAGGGGAGGCAGGCTTGCCCCAGGTCCGAGAAGCACCCCGAAAGGGAGGAAGCTCTCGGTGGCTCCAAGAGAGGAGCCACCAGGCAGTGACACGGTACGTGGTTCCCAGGAGCACAGGTCCGGGACCAGAAGTCTCCAAAGCAACATCCCGGCTGCTCTTCTCACAGGGACGTGCGTAGAGATGCCGCTTTTTCACACAGAACAAGCTTGGTCAAGATGTCAAGCCCATAAAGATTCTTCCCTTGACTGTATTTCCTGTCTTGATGTTAGAACTTGGTTAGAAAACTCTGTTTGTCACACAAAGTCCTAAAGCGTATTAATTTAAATCTCAGTGACAATAAAACGCCACAAAGCACTGTACCTCCCCAAACTCACGCATTTCCTGTTCTTATAAAAGCCAAATGAGTTCGTCATAATTAATGCTATAGAACAGATCCTGCATAATAATAATTAACCACATATTGTTAAGTGCTATCAAAAATGCATGGCATTCAATTAGCTTGAAAACAACATTCGCTGCGTATTACAAAGTGAGCTGATGTTGGTCTTGGGATGATCATTCTTCAGCAGGAAGCACTTTTCTTAACAGTCTTGTAATGTATTTATTAGTACTTCAATAATGTTGAATTAGTACACTAGCAATTTAGCTTAAATATTCCATTTCAATTAAACATTTGACCTCTTTGAACCCTCTGGAATTCTCAAATTCGGGACCGGTTTGTAATTATGTCATTTGTGGATACAGTATAATATAATAACTCCAGAGTTTTATTGCCTTCGTACCTAATGGAGATGTTCGGCGTGATGAAATTGTCCAACGCGTCCGCACCAGTTCCCCTGGGGGTGCGGATGGGGTGGGGCCGTCCATCACAAGGTCCCTCAAGGTCATGAGGGAAAAAACGTGGCAATGGCTGAGCCTCAAGACCAGATCGGCCAGCAAACTGCTGCTCGCTCCCGCCCCGGTCACAGCCTGGCCTGTTTCCTGAGGCGAGCTCGTCTGCCCTCTCGGTATTTTCTTTTCTATGAAATGGGATAATATTGCTAAATTCGCTGAACCTCCCGAAACCCCTTGGAGACCACACTAGTCTAAAATTTATATGTAAATGACTTTCTGCTAATTGGTGATAAGAATAATTTAGTAAAATGTGGGATTATGATACAATCTTTTATGGGAAGAATTATCATGAACCTCATTTTTATTCTGAAAAGAAAATGAAACTTCATTAAGATTGTCATGTGGGATTTGCATTTATATTGGCCTTTAAAAGTCATAGAGGCAACTACTACCTATAAATAAATAACATAGCTGTGTATTTAAGTACAGTGCTTTGTCTGTTGAGCAAAAATGCCAGCCCTTGACCATATGTTGCATCATCTTTTCCTAAAATTGTGTGACTTTCCATTACTCATCATTAAACCAGGTAGGGGTAGGAATCCGAGAATGGTCCCTCCCAGGGCAAAATCCCTCCTCCTCTGTGGCCCCATGGAGCTAGAACGCCGGTATCTGCCCTCAAACTACAGTGAGGTGAGAAGTCCTGGGTACCAGCTACGGACATTTCGGCTGGAAAGGGAGGAAAGGGGAGGAAAAAGGAGTCACTGGTCCCAAGCAATCTCAAAATGGGGAAGCCCCTTGGGTTTCAAGGCGTGAGGTCAGTCCTCTGTGGCTCACGGCTCTGCCCCTGAACCATCGTTCTTTTGTCTTGAAAGATAGCGTTTACTCTCCGCTGAGTGTTTTCATTCGTCCGTTTCCCGCCTGTCCACGTTTCGGGATCCGACAGCCTTCTTTCCCTCTGTGACCCCCCCTTTTCCTCTCGGACCCATCTGGCCGTGTTGTGGTGACGCGAAGCCCCTGAGAACCGCGGGGACCACGCGTGCGTGCCGCAGAGTCCGCTCCGGCCGGGGGGCGCGGGGTCACTGCCGGCGGGTCTGGGATGCTCTCGGGCTTCACGGAGGCATCTCTCCGCCAGACCTTAATCTCCTCAGAGAGCCTTGTGTGCGTCTCGTGACCGATCACGTTGACCCTCGGGTCCTTCCCAGGTACTAGTGTGAGACTGAACCCTCCGCTTTTCCCCCGGAGCAAAGATCCCTGCCAGCGGATCTCTTAACGTTGGTGTATTTTGCGATCTGGATGGACTGAGAACCTCCCAAATGATCCTGACTTAGTCCCTTTCATGTCATGGTTTTTCTCCCAGTTCCCCCCCCCCCCCGCCTTCCTGCTTTGGTCTACGAGCACCAGGCAGACACCAGGCTACGCCCTCAACACTTTGCCGGCAGCCGCTTCAGATAAATGATTTCACGGCTCACAAGTTCTTGCCGCGCAACCACAGGCACGGCCCCACCCAGGTTGTGGCCTCTAGAACGAGGCTCTCCTTCCTGCAACGCTGGGGTAGGCGCCCTGGCGTCTCCCCGGCCCTCACTGACAGCGAACTCCCGTCTAGATTTCCGCCAACGGCCTGTGAGGCTCACAGCTCGCGTGTCTTCGGTCCATCTGTCCGTCTGCCCAACACGTGTAGCTTTTTCCTTTGTGGACCCCTGCTTCCAGCCTCGCCCGCTGTCGGGCTCCAAATACACTTCTCTGTTCTTAGGTATAGTTTACAGCAACACCCTACCTTCAGGCAAAAACGTGTTGCCTTGTGTTATCCCTTAAGCAGTCTGGGCAAGAGTCCAGCTGTAGCATTAATATACATGCATCGTACGTATAGACACACGTGCGATCCATCTATCGGGTCTGTTTCTCCTGAATTTGTGGAGCATATGGAACACACATATACAACGTGTCTAAACATGTAGCTAATTGGCTCACGTGGTAGTGGGAACCCACAGGCCTAATACCTGTAGGACAGGCCATACAGCTGGAACTCGGACCGGAGATGTGGGCTTCAGGAGGCCCCTTCTCCCCGGGAAAACCTCAGTCTTTGCTCTGACAGACCTGATCACCTGATTGGAGGAGGCCCACCCCGTCTCGAGGGTGACCTCTTTGCTCAGGGTGAGCCGATGGGTGATTCCAAGCACGTGCACATACCGCTGCCCACAGCCCCCACCCACGTTGGGGCCAACAGCTGGGGCTGTGGCCTCGACACTCAGCGTACTTTCCCCACCCCCCACCGCCTTCATTGGCTCTGCCTTTCCTGAGGCCCCCATCACGTGCTCCACACCACCTCATCATGCTTCCCAAGGGGGACACTCAGGGAAAGACCCGAGAGACGTTCGACGTGTGGGGCGACCAAAACAGGGTTCTCTGGTGCACTTGGGAGCTCGAAACCCAGCTACTGAAAGAAAGGAACGAGAGGAACAGGGATCAGAGCAGGAACTTTGACGCAACAGACGGCAAAGAAGAAAAGGCAGGACAAGAACAGAGAAAAGAGATGCCTGTTTCATATCATAAAAGACTACATAACGTGAGTTTTTACTCTGTAACTTTCCCACAGGCCAGACCATGCCTGCTACCCACGCACTGGTACACATCCTCCGGGGCTTCTCGATACAATAGTGACGTCATGTGTGATGCAGAAGGGGCGTGGGCTCACGGGGACAGGACATGAGCGCCCACAGGGCTGCCTGGCGACGCCCCAGCTGTCGGACGGCAGGCACTGGCTGTGTCCTGACTCCGAGTGCAGATGGCACAACCCTGGGAGAGAGCCGGTGGTGAATTTTGGCTGCTCCTAGAAACACTCGGACCAAGACGGAAAGGCCAACACATTCCAGGGGGTGTTGGCCTCCCGAATCTGCTCCTCGGGCCCCTCAGTTGGCCGTCTTGCTGCTTCTTTAACTGACCTGTGAGCGGCCACACCGGCCCTTGGATTCACGC